GCTTACTGGCTTTAATGTTCAAAAAGCTCTTTATTTTCCTCATACTGCCTGTGCTGCAGCACCTCTTTTCACCCCCTGTCTGAAACCAGAGTCCAGTCTGCTCTGATTGGTTAGCTGGCCGGCTCTGTTGTGATTGGACAACTACTTAGAGATGTCCCACCCTTTAGCCTATCACGTACAATGTGTTGGAGCGCCGGCCAACACATTGTACGTGTATGCGAGTGTTACGTAGTGATGTGGCTATGTTACTGAAGAACACAAAGGAGTCCAATGGAGGCCCCAAAAAGCGTAATAGGGCATGATTTTGGCACTTATATTTACTGTATGAAACATACAGTATACAGTATGTGGTGCATATTACAAATGTTTTGTGACCTCATGACAATAATTCTCTGAATGTAAGACTCGATAAAACATTAGATTATCGGCCTCTATGTTCGTATTAATTCTAGCTAGCAGATAATTATTTGGTCATGAGACTTTTCATCAGAGGTGGGGACTCGAGTCACATGACTTGACTCGAGTCGCATATTTTTTGACTTGAGACTTGCTTGACTAACATTGATAAAAGACTTGACTTGACTTTGACTTGGTATGCATGACTTGAGACTTGACTTAAGCTTGAGACAGATGACTTGAAAGGACTTGACTGTTTAAAATTAAATATTTGCGTTTGTTTTGTAGTGAGATATTACGTTTAGTTTTTTCGAAAAACGTGATTGGGTGATTATAGCGCCATGCGCGCAAACCTGGCAACCCACTAGACGGCAGGAGCGTCAGTTAACATGGCAGCGGCTAGCGTTACTCCAAAAATAGTGAAGTTTGGATTCAAGGATTATGTTGTCGATGACGCTAATAAGAAGAGAACAGCGGTATGCAGGGTCTGCAGCATAAAGATCAGTGACACGACCACCACAACATCCAACTTCATTCGTCACTACAAAAAAAACACAGAGAAAGGTGCGTGGATGTGTTGTGTTAGCTAGAAAGCTAACGTTAAGTTTAAGCTACGTTAGACTTGGTTTCAAATCGATTAAGCATTGCAAAGAGAAGACAAAACGGTAAATGAACACTAGAACCGCCAAGGGATTCATTTTGACTAACCCCGATACTGACGGGCTGTCAGGAGAGGGAGAGGGAGAGAGGAAAAGAGATGCCTCGTTTATTTCCCCTGTGTTATTATCAGAAGTTACTGTAAACTGTTGAATAATGTAGTTCATCTACTTTTAGTAGTTTGTTTAAATGTTTTAATTATGTTGTTTTTGTTTGTAGAAGTGCATCATTCCTTGATTTATTGTAAAAATGAATCTGAACTTTTTGATCTGTTATGATGATAAACTGAAGCAATTTCTAAATTAACCCAATTAACTGAGTTTTAAATCATCTTAGTTTATAAGGAAATTATGAAGAGGAACAAATGAAATGATTTGAAAATGATATCTATGTAGGTGCTGACGCTGTTGACGGTTCTAGTGTTAACAGACATTTAAATTAAATATGTGTAATGGCAAATGCCATATATGATTTTCTTACCTGGATTTCTGCCTTTTTGAACAGACTGTTTGATTGAGTCCTAGCTATATTGTCTGCAGTTCTAGGGTTAATATGAATCTAATATGATTGTCATCGGTCTAAATTAGATTTCAAATGATTAACTGTGTATGTAATGAAGATCATAGTGTGGGTTGAATCCATTTTCATAACCACTGTCTTTTAACTGATTTAAATGCGGAAACTGGGCTTATTCATCAGAATTTCGTATGACTTGACTTGACTTGACTTGACCTGAGCAATGACTTGACTTGACTTGCTGACTCTCACCACAGTGACTTGGGACTTGCTTGATACTTGTAGGTCAAGACTTGAGACTTGCTCATGACTTGCACATGTAGGACTTACTCCCACCTCTGCTTTTCATAGCCTGTCAGCTTATTAAGCGGGACTCTGGAGTACATCTGCAGCTATGATGTAACTTAATAGATTACAACTCACCTACAACACCAGCCACAGTGGGACTTGCTCCAAGAGCTTTCACATGATGGCTGAGCAGCGGGATGATCATGCTCACCCCAAACAAATCCTGAAGAAAACAAGGAAATGAAGGAGAGAGATTAAAGTTATGTCCCCAGGTGTATCCAGCTGTTATCATTTCAACTTTAATCACACAAGAAACCCTTTTGAACTGAAAAAAACAGAGAGTTGTAACAAAATCTGTTTTTTCTGCATTGCTGAGATCGGTGCAGCTCTTGCCAAACTCTTGATTGGAGTCACACAGCAGTTCATACAGCGCTCTAACACTACTCATTACACTAATTGCTTAACTTGCAGAAGCATTACTGTCCCTAAGAGTTTCTGCGTGCCAAAAATCTGGGCACTTTAAATCACATTTAGCCAGATATGCAGGCTGAAAGGTAAAGTGATGTAATGTAATGTAAATGTCTGCAGATCAGCTTGAAAAACAACTTGGATTCTAACCATGTTTAGAGTTACACAGACTTTCTTGTTCATGATTACGAGTTGGGTTTCTCAATGTTCTTAAATTTAAGGAAGAAACAGTCCACTTTGAAGCATATTTTACTGACAGCGATGCTCAGAAGAGACAGCAGGTGACGGCTTTGTTATTTTATATCTCCCCAATTTAGTGGCTAGGGTTATATATTACAACATACACACCGTGCGTATTTGTATGTACAGAGAGTATTACATTATTGTATTTCTAGTGGCCAGAAAGTATTGATGCATCTTTAAGAAGAATTTCAAAAATGTGTGCTAATGATCCCCTATACTAATCAATAAAATGATGATACATACAGTATGTCCCTGCTTTCTACAGTACTTTTATTGTATTGGATAGTAGCTTTTACAGATGAGTCTGCAGGTATCAAAGGTAACACAAAACTACACAATGACTACATTTACATCTTTACAACCCATGCTTTAAAATGTAATTCCCTATTTCACCTACGGATGACAGCTGAATGTTTTAAGTTTTTTTTGCAAGTATGCTGTTTAGGTTCAAGGGAATTTGAGCTATGCTATGACATCGACTTTTGCTGCTGACATGAACAATTCCAGAGAAAATATGTTCATGTTTTGGCAAACCTTCATACCTTTAAATTCAACAGACTTTTAACACTTTTAAGAGCTGCTTTGCAAAACCCAAAGTATAACATTTTCATTTTAAATCACATGCAAACACCTTGAGGGTGCCTTGACCGGTTTTGCATGATCTGAACATGAAGCACATGTATTATCTCTGAATTGTTTTGTTTTGTTTACATCATACCTTTCGAGTTATGAAACCATGACATGACAGCTCACTCAGTACAGTCTCAGTTAGCTACTCACCATGAAGCCCACCACATAGATGCATTGTATAATCCTCGTCCGTCCTCCTGGTTTCTGATATAAGGTGCTACATTTCTGGTTGTTCATCCTCCCGCAGTGACAGCACGGCTGCAGGAAAAGCGGAAGCGCTCATCCGCTCCACTGAAAACTCTCCAAACACACCGAGCACGGAAGCGTCCCGGTGGAGATATCACGTGCAGGGGTCAGCGCGAGACTTCTCCGTATCAACCGTCTGAAGAAATACGGTAGGTGTAAATATGAGGCGGATTCTAAAGAGATAAGACACGTCCTGTGTGGCGAATCTGACTGTTAGTGAAGAGGTTGATTTCTCAGGTGTTGAACTGCTGTGTTGTCTGCTCTGACCTATGAGCTAACTCCCCCACGGATAATAGGAGAGTTGGTATCGTCCGCTGACGTCACAATTCTGGATCGGGAAGTTGATTCATAAAAAATATAGATAAGACATAAACATTATCTTAAACCTTAACAAATCACAGAATAACTTAATTGTAACCGCATTTACAACAATTCAAGATACAAATCTGACTATATTGATATATTACATTGTCTAAAGACTATTTAAGCAATGCAAATGTTTTGTGTCTACATTTTAAGCTACATGACACCAATATAAAAAGGTGTTTTTTTGTCGAATTGTAAACTTATTTTTTGGTTTGAAGATAACAAAAAGAGTAGACGATAAAATAAGAATCAAACACACCAGTGAGATTACATTAAACAGTTTAATAAGTACATATAACACAGAATACACAGTATATATCCAACACATGTTAATTTCTAAATGTTTTAGATATTCAAAACAATTCTTGTAAACATTTTTTGCAATGATAAACTGGACTATTTAACACTTTGTATATCTATTTAGTTTTCACCTGTAACATTTAGAAAGACTGAGATTTCAGTTACTTTTCCACCATCTGCTGGACAAATTGAGGCATCCAACATGTTCAAATATTCAAAGCCATGGACTATATTTCTGTTTTATAGCAAAGTAAATATTTCCCATCCTTTTAGGTTGTTTTTACTTGGCAATATTGGTCATGACTACAGAGCAGTGGATGTGGGAGGAGTTTTACTATCTGAGTGTGGCCTGGCTCACATCAGAGTGTCTTTGTCTGCTATACATGTAGGCTGACTGCTATATGTTCCCCACACATGCTAAAGTAGTCTAGTGTTTCCTCTCAACTCACACTGGCGGTTACAAACCACAGCAAGAGATTTTACAACCTCTTTGTTTAAGGTTCAAACAGGTTCAAAGCTTTTGTTGTCATGATCATGAAGTATCTTTATAAACTGATAGCCTATGCTAATTAACAGTTAACATGTATTTTCTGTATATTGTCTAATATTTTTAAAAGATGTTGTTTTGGAAAAATGTGTATTATATTTCTATAACCAGTTTGAACTTTATACTGTTTCATTTGATATTTACTTTTGTGTTCTGGGGGTGTGATACAGCTGAAAATACCTCATAAGTAAGGATGCATTTACAGTAATTTTCATCCCCCTGTTTACAGGAAACGACATGTGTCTGTTTACATGAGCTTATAGCAGGGTGTTGTGGGATACTGAAACTCTTCTTCTGTCCTTTCAGTCTCTCCCTGCCCTCACATTCCCATGCAGACGATGGGTGTCCAGTTGCCGCCGGTTATTTCTGCGCAGCTGATCCCCTCCCTTCACAATCTCCAACTGCTCCACACTCAGTGGAGAGGAGTGTGTGGAGGAATCAGACCCCAAATATAGCCCAGGGTGTTGGTTGGGTGGGTGGGCTGACTGCAGACCCCAGCAGGGTCCAAAGGGAGTCATGTGCACAACCTTGTCCTCACATAACACAGACAGAGGGACAGGAGAGGATCCATAAACCCAGCTGGAGCACAGTGGATGTACTGGAAGGAGTTTGCTTGCTGTAGTTGGAGGGGAAAGTTGCTGGCCTATCTCGGACCATGAAGCTTAACGTGGCGTTGTTTTTTGCGGGGCTCTTCGGGGCGTTAGCAGCTGTGTTCACCCTCCTCTCGTTTGGGACAGATTACTGGCTGATGGCTTCAGAGAGCTGCCACCCAAACCCTGGAGATGTTGGTGGTGTGACAGTCGAGGTGGGTGTTCAGACAGCAGCACATCAGTCATCGTTTGTCATGTCTGAAATAATAGTTATCATGTGTTTTTAGGTTGAAAAATATTCATATTTGTAAGCCAAGGAAATATCATTAGGTCAGCTGCTCTAACAGGACAGGACAGTACATCTATTATATTCACTGGTGGAGGGGAGTAGTCAGATCTTTCATGAGGTAAAAGTGCCATTTTAATTGTTAAAATACTCCTTTACAGGTGAAAGGCCTATATTCTAATTCTTACTCAAATAAAAGTACAGAAGTAGTACCAGTAACATGTACTTAAAATATCAAAAGTGAAAGTCAGCAGTAGCATTACATGGAAATACACATGTAAAGTACATGATAATTGTCTTTAAGTAAATTACTTAAGTACATTTCTTACTGTCTATTTTAAAAATCAGTTGCTTCAAACATTCTCTCATTAGATGAGCTGCAGTGTGAAGAAGCATCCCCTCAGGACTTCTTCATGTAATCAGACACTGTTTAATGTAGTGTGTGTGCAGCTATGCAGTGATTGAGACTTGCTTGTGGCCCTATGATAGAGATACAAATACCAGTAGTCCCTGTGGCATGGAGCTGTATTAAATATCACCGAGCAGAACATACTTAGCTTTTCATAGTGGGCAGTGAAACAGGAATGGAGACATGATATCACCACAATAACAGTGGTAGCACGTAGTAAGTACAGTAATGCAATGTGAATATATATATATATATATATTTTCAATTAAATCTATATCCTAATTATGGCATAATAAGGTGTGGCAATAAGTGCAGGATTCACCATAATGCATCTTATTTTATCTTATTTTATCTTATCTGATCTGGATTGTCAGCATCCGATAGTATTTTCTAGTTTTCTCTCTCAATTCTTTTGCTTTTCACCCCTTAATACCCTTGATGATTTTCCCTTGAATGATTTGCTCAAATATATTTTAAGGCATGAAAAGGCAAAAACTATTCACTAATTTAGAGGAAAAGGTAATTATTGTATGGTTGTCTTTAAACATTTGAATCCTTTTTTGAAAAATAAATATTTCTCAAATGTTATTTACTACTTTTGACACCTCAGGTTTATCTCACCACCCCTTTTAAGGGTTCCTGACCCCAATACTGTGCTTCTACAAGCTCTTTAAAGGCAGATTTAAAAATAAAACACACCTGTTTAGATTAACATAATAAAAGATGACAGTCCAACTTCATTACAGCTGCTCTCATTGCACTGAGAGGTGATTTATTGAGGACCGCACAGGCGATTAAGGAGTTTTTTCTCACGTGCAAAAATAGTGACCACCAGAGATGAGGCCTTGGTTTGCACGCTCGCTCGGCACCAACAAACCTGCCGGAGGTTGAAGGCGCTCGCTCAGCTCATTCCTGACCTGACAGCTTCACACCTGCCGCACATGATCAGGGACAGCTCTCAGGAGTACACATCCTTATTCTGCAGACTTAAGAATATGTTAAAGGTCACCTATTATGCAAAATCTACTTTTTCATGTCTTTTATACATCAACATGTGTCCCCTCTGTGTAAAAAGATTCTGAAAGTTTCAGGAAAAAAGATTCTCTCACTTTTTGTCCTGATCCATTTCTATAAAAACCAGTCTGAAAATGAGCTGGTCAGATTTTGGCCACTTTAATAATAATAAAATAATAATTCCTTATATTTATTATAGCGCTTTTTCCATGACCCAAAGCGCTTTACAGATACACATTACACATACATACATGTAACGGTCATGTACTGTGGACAATACCCACAGGAGCAAATTCAGGTGAAGTGTCTTGCCCAAGGACACAACGGCTTTACAGACGCAGCGGCGGCGGGTTTCGCCCCCTTGATCTGATGATCAATGCACAGCCCACTGCGCCACACCACCCATCTTCACACCTTAAAGTCATCAAGGCGCTTTACAAGTACACATTAATATCATACATGTACTGTGGACAATACCCACAGGAGCAAATTCGGGTGAAGTGTCTTGCCCAAGGACACAACGGCCTGACGCAGTGGCGGCGGGAGCGGGTTTCGAACTGGAGTTCCCCAACGCCCCCTTGATCTGATGATCAAACGCACAGCCCGCTGCGCCACTCCGCCCCATTATGATGTCATAACGATGTTTTGGCTTGTGTAACCATTAGCCAATCACCAACCAAGGTAACCCCCCCCCCCCTTATCACCTGAATCTCCTCCTAGAGCACCATTGTGTTCTTTTTAACCAAATATCTCTCAGAGGGGCGTGGGGAGTGGCTCCTTATTTTCATCTGAAGTAACAGACAGAGTATCAGCACTTTTGAAACAGGGCTGAAACAGAGGGGATTATGGGATGCTGCAATGATCTGTTTGGTGTTCGGAGCCAAACACTTCAGAGACATGTTCTGTGTATATCTGAGACCTATAATATATTGATGATAAACAGTATAATAGGGGACCTTTAAGTAATAAATCATTCTTCTATCTCTTCAGCGTGGCGATGTGGTGGTGCAGGAAGGCGCTCCTGACGTCACTCTGTACCATGAAGGGTTTTTCTGGAAGTGTTCGTTTGGAGGCAGCGCTGGAGATGAAGACCTGATGTGGAAGCTCTGGTTCAGTAAGTCTCTCATGATGTTGCTTCCTTAGTTAATTAATCCTTTTAATGTGTTGCCTTTGGTTTAACTGTCTAATAATTTCCACTGTTTTACAGTCATTAATTTCACTCTTTTAAATAGTTTGTTTTGTTTCTTCTGACCGAATTAAAATCCAATAGGAAGGAATCTATACAGTTGAAGCAAGGCATTTTTATTTAGAGAGCAACATTGTGACACATGAAAACTCAAAGCCCTGTAAATACAACTTGTATGATGTTAACAAAACATTGAATTTGCTTTTAAAAGACAAAAAAAAGCAGAAAGGTGGAGCAGTTAACAAATAGAAAGACACTGCATTTCTTTAAAGGCAATTCAAAATGAAAAAGCAGCATTCTTTTAAAAACAAGTTAAATAAGTTATTGCAAAGAAGCATTAAACAGTAATTTTTTTAATCCATGATTGAAATTGTTGTTCTTTTTAAGTATTGAAGAAGTTAGTACATAACACATAAAGCAGATTAGGGTGATTACCATAGATCGTTATTATTGCATCATAAGGAAAACAATTATTATTATTATTATTCATTGTTTTTAACCATTCATTTTCCTATGACTGGTGCTTTTCCACGCCTTTCGAAGTCATTGAGTTCAGGAAACCAGTCTCCTCCAGAGTCACATGGCAGCACGATGACTCAGAATACATTTCAGTTTTTCATTTGCTGCTAACCCGTCAATAAAACTTGAATGATGCTTTAATGGTAGAAACGCCCCCATGTGACTGTTTAGACGCTGTGCCATGTGATGTTATTCTGGTTGTTTGTCAGGTGATAGTGCGTCGTCTATTTCCAGATTTTCTTGCTTTGAATGGTGGCTCATTGTCAGAAACGGCCTCTGGCTCTGAGCGAATTTCACATGGTGGAAGCAAAGAGAGAAGAAAGTAAAAACATGAGGGAAAAAGTGCAGATGAATCGTTACTTTGAGACACTGTTTTCAAACTTGAATCAATTGGCGCATTTCCACTACACGGCCTCGCTCACCCTCGCTCGGTATGGCTAGGCCTCGTTAGGCCTCGTTAGGACTGGCTCACTTTATGGCGCATTTCCATTACAGTTTAGGAACTGGGGTAGTATCTATAGTAACGCAGTGTAGGCGGAGCCGTGACGTCATCTTCAATGCGAATCCCAGAAAAACAACACAGCCGTTAGCTGTTAGCACTCAGAGCTCACAGCTCCTCATATCTGTTGAGAAACTAGACAAAAGTTAAACAAGTACAAACCACAGACTGCCTGTGTCATGGCGAATACAGTCGCTGCTTTATTTATGTCTGTATAGGCCGTTGTTGTGAGTGTGGACGGTCGGAGCATATACTGCGTTAGCTTAGCCAATCTCCATCTAGAAAACACGCATTTTAAAAGGTTTTTCGCCTGCCGTCTGTCTGCAGACTTGACAAAGCATTAATTCATGGTTTTTACTAACCGGTATCAGTATGTTGTTACTTCGGCATCATTTTGAAACGTGTATTACAATTAAATCACGGTCAAATATGTTCATCTTGTTGTAGTTGTAGCCCCCTTGCCAGCGATTCTCTCTCTAGTTTAGCAAACTCAGCCCGACTCAGCCCTGTTTGTTGGCCCCGATAGAACCACGATTTTGTCGGGCCAGAAAAGAGGTGAAAAAGTACCCCCGGGCCGGAACTAGGCATAGTGGAAACGCAACCAAAAACGGGCCCGGCACGACACGGCACGCTTAAACCGCGCTCCGCGCCATGGTGGAAATGCGCCATATGAGAGTAAAAGGATTGCAGTCTTCACCTTATACTGTTTATATGTTTCATTAAGTGATGTCCTCTAATTGACCTCTGTATATATAAAAAAAAAGGCTAAATATAAGAGGCCCTATTAGGCTTTTTGGGGGTTTTCCCTTTCCTGTAGTGTGTTATATAAGTTTCTGTGAATGTAAATGGTCTGCAAAGACTAAAATCCCAAAGTTCCCTCCAGAGCGAGCTACTCTCCCACACACTCACCTCCTTCCTCCATTGGACTCCTTTGATTAATTCTGTAACATAGTGATATCACTATGTTACACTCAAAGTCTATTGGCTAGTGCTCCAACACATTTTACGTGATAGGCTAAGGGGCGGGGCATCTCTAAGCGGTTGACCAATCACAACAGAGCCGGCCAGCTAACCAATCAGAGCAGACTGGGCTCTGGTTTCAAACAGAGGGTGAAAAGAGCTGCTGCAGCACAGGCAGTATGAGAAAAATAAAGAGCTTTTTGAACATTAAAGTATGGAGACATGTCACAGTAGAGGAACAAAATACAAATATGAACCTGAATATTAGCCTGAAATGTATTCTTTCTCTCCCCAGCAAACCAGCCTCACTCCAAAGTGTGCACGCACGCCTACCTCTTCCCATTCCCCGTGTCTCAACATTCCCACAATGCAACAGAGTATGACTCGGCCATCAGTAAGTGTCTTTTTAAGTTATGTTAGAGAATGAGTTTATATTCTTCAGTGATACAATGGCGTTGTTTACAGTCGTGTTTAACATGTCTGTTGTCCAGTCTACAGAGGTTTCTGGAGTATCTTCATGCTGATCGGAGTGGCCGCTGTGTTGCTCGGGGGTCTCTTCATCATCTGTGCGGCTCCGTTCGCCAGCCACCGTTTATATAAAGCAGGCGGGAGCCTCTTCCTGGCATCAGGTGAGGTTTCAAATGGTTACATCTATTAGAAAAACTTTAAGCACACTTTTTAAGGGGGCCTTGAAGTTTTCGGAATGTTCTCCCATTGCATGCTACTATTCAAAGACGTTTGCTTGAATGTCTCTCATGGTTTCAATAAAAAACTGTTCTTGGCCCAAGATTGTAACCTGTAGTCAGTATTTCACAAAAAAAGCAAGATGAGAGAATATTTTAAATATTGACAAAACATTTATAGAACTTACCAAACTAAATTGTGTATAAGGCGGGAGGCGTGTGGCGCAGTGGGTAGTGTGTAGGTGTTCGGATCAGGGGGTCACAGGTTCAAACCACACTGCAGTCAGCATGTCGTTGTGTCTCTGGGCAAGACACTTCACCCCAAATTGCTCCTGTGGGGATTGTCCACAGTACTGAGTATGTAAGTCGCTTGGGATAAAAGCGTCTAATAAGTAACATGTAATATAAAGTACCTTAAACAGCCCCATTGAACCAAGAGTGTTACTAACCATAGTGTCAGACATAACACATATATCAGTTGCATGGGACATTTCTTTCTACAGAACAAGCTATAAGTAGCTTATAATACTTCTGAATATTAAGGACTTTCACCTGTCATGGCTTACTTTCAAATTGTTGTGTTGGTATTTCTGTTTTGGATCATAAAGTGAGTTTTAATCCTCCCCCCCCCCCCCCCTCCCAGGCCTGTTCCTGCTGTGTGTGGTGGTGATGTACGTGCTGTGGGTGCAGGTGTTGGACGTGGTGGAGCTCTACATCGAGCACCAGCGCTCCACAGTGTGTGCAGACTTCCAGCTGTCCCTCCACTACGGGCTGTCCTTCATGTTCGCTCCCGTCGGCATCTTCTTCTGCTTCCTGGCCGGCCTCCTCTTCCTCCTCATCGGCCGAACCATCCAGATCCACTGCAACTGAATTCCCCCAGCAGCAGGTTGGATGATGGGACTCTTTGTTTTACCACCAGACCTGACATTTTCCCCACTGTGTCTGCTATGTAAATAAAGACTATTTATATGGAAGCTCTGGGTATAAATGATCTGACAGGATAAGCATTTTGCAACCCAAAAATGGTGCCTTCATCACTCCAGCCTGGGATGTTTTCATTTGAGCTGCATAACATTCAGTTATATGGTATTCTCAACCAGCCTGATCACATATTACAATACATTTAATATAGCAGATAATATATTACCCAAAGTTATTTACATTCAGTGCATTCAGACATGAAGATATATCCTCAAACAGAAGGTGGAAAAAAAGTTGTGAGGGTTTTGAGTGGATGCTAATGACATGTATCAGGGAGAATATGAACACACGCCATTATATACAGTATATAATGCTTTGTATAGTGTTTAAATACAGATAATTACATACAAGCGCACAGCTAAAAGTCTCAGGCTTCAACAATGAAAGTACAATATACTCAACAAAAAAAGTAAAATCATAACATGATATAGATAGACAAAATGGTTCAAGAAACTTGCAGGTATACAGAAAAATATACACAAATAGGATAAATACACAACAGCGGAACAGTGCATAGAAAACTCAGCATACACTTGAAGCCTATTGTATGTAATAAAAAACATCTCGTGATTGTTTTCGTATCCATATTAACAGTTTCAAAGTGCTGTACAGATCATAAAGCCTGTGGAGAAATGTGAGCTTTGTGATATTGGGCTTTTGTCAATAAATAGATTTGACTAGATTTGAACAACAGCAGGTTCATTGATAGATACGGAGCTCATGGAACAGAGACATATCACACGTGTTAGTAGCATCAGTGTGTTGTTGGTTTTGGTCTTTTTTTGACAATGAGAACAATGCAATCTGACTTTTGTAATATCATAAAATATTATATTTCACTGAGTGTAACATGCTTTATCTGCAACACTATTTAACTATGTACATATCCTGAAACGCTGTTATTTGTTTTGAGTTTCTTGGTCCCAGCACAGTTTATTCTGTTTCTAAATCGAGCTTGAAGCGTGATTGACTTTCTACGTTTATTTAACTATTTCCTGTTTATGTTGTTGAGTTTCTGTCGTCTTGTTTTTTTGTGTGTTGACACAACATCATATCTGTCCAAATTAATGTTTTTTTTCTCCTGTTATCTGTTTGCTAATAAAAAGAAGAGTTAAAGCTATCTATCTATCTATCTATCTATCTATCTATCTATCTATGATATACACCTGAACATCAGCAGGAGAGGACTCTTTAAAGCAGAGACACTACATACTGATATACACCTGAACATCAGCAAGATAATAATCACTTTGTCTTTGTAGCTAAGTCAAAAAATGTTGAAGGAATGTGTGCTCCCAAATTCAGGCTTCAGCCAACAATCAAAAGTCTAATTTTAACCAGTCAAAAAAAGACATAAAATACATTTTAGAGGAAAATAATCAATATTTCTAAATCGGCGAATATTTAGAAAAATACAAAAAATGGAACTAAAACACCACAAGAGGGCACTGCTGTCTCACTTAATTCACACATCACGCTACACCCGGAGAGGCAGAAAGCTATTTTGCTTATCTAGAGTATATGTGCAGTGTATGTGCACTGCAGTATGCATTTAATCACAAGTTGAGAGGAAGGATCTGTAGATGAAAGAACTCACACCTCTGCTGACAGACGGAGGGTAATTTCACTCTTGAATGGAGCATTTGATCAGGATCTGAATGGACTCCAGTGTCGCTCCTCATGTGTCTGTATATCAACTCTCTGCCTTTCCAGCTTTATAATATGCTTATCATACAGAGAGAAATGCATCCAGGATGCAGGATGCAGCGGCACAATGTAGGCATTGATTACTTTGTGAGATTGACTTTGCCTTTACAGAAAACTCTTTAGGATGGAGATTCACACTTTCAAATTTGAGAATTTCAAATTGCTGTCCGCACTGCCACACCAATCTTTACTTCAGCCATAAGAGAAAGTACACCGGGATACTGCAGTGCAACGCTCTTTCAAAAGTGAAAGGACACTGGATTATAAAAAACAATGGATTTCTCATGATTACTATAATGTACAGTGTTGGATGAAGTACTCAGATCCTTTACTTTAGTAAAACTACAAATACTATGGTCTTCAAATACTCCAAAACAAGTAAAAGTCCTAATTTCAAATGTTACATAAGTAAAAGTAGAATAGTATTAGCATCTATAAGTACTTACGTCCCATTTCAGAATAATATCAAGTATTTTCTGCAACATTTTCTCCAAGTTTTGCAGAATGGATCTTTCACAGTAACATATTTTTATGTTGCTTATTTTCAGTAGCAATTTAGTGTTGTAGGTCAATGTGGACCAAATTTATACTTTAAATACTGTGTTTACTATTACAGTACTGCATTATACCATATCAGTTTATGTACTGTATATGTACAAAGTAACTGCAAGTGTTAAAATATATGTAGTGGAGTAAAAAGTACACTATTTGCCTCTGAAATATTTCGGAGTAGAATTTTAAAATACCTCAAAGTAAAATACTTTCCACCGTTGGAAAAGTAAAGCTGTTAGTTTATAAAGGCCATTGTGCTATGATTGATAAAGTTCCTTTTGCATCGAAAATACGTGAAATTGTTTTAAAGTGGACTTATATCTAACCAATCAGAGCAGACTGGGCTCTGGTTTCAGACAGAGGGTGAAAAGAGGTGCTGCAGCACAGTATGAGAAATATAAAGAGCTTTTTGAACATTAAAGCATGTAGACATGTCACAGTAGAGACACTAAATACAAATATGAGCCTGAATAAGCATGATAAGGCCCCTTTAAAATAATAATTTGACAGTGAATTAGGTTTGCATTGAATTGAAATCATTTTTTAATGAAGAGCATGTTATTTTGCATTTTAATATGTAGAAGAAATTTGGTTGCGAGCAGAACATTAACTATGTCTAATTTCGGTGCTGCTGCAGGTCACAACAAGAGGCCACAGAGATTGGCCGATGCTAATAAAAATAAATAAGTAATAAGATAAAATCACAAGGATTTGTCTTGTGGCAATATAAAGTGGTCCTTTCATCCAACACTCCCTCAAGAAAAATGTGTATTATCCCAAAGAGAGTGTATGCCAGTGTGTGTGTGTGTGTGTGTGTGCGTGTGTGTGTGTGTGTGTGTGTGTGTGTGTGTGTGTGTGTGTGTGTGTGTGTGTGTGTGTGTGTGTGTGTGTGTGTGTGTGAGAGAGAGAGAGAGGTTTAATGCAGGTGTGTTGCAGCCTCCTCCTCCTGCAGCAGTCAGTAATGTCATCAGACTCCCAGCTGAATTCACCACTGTTCTGCATGATCGCCCATGATAATTGTGTGTTGATAGAGAGCGCCGGAGATGGAGTATAATTTCCACCGAGAGATTCCTAAACAAATACCTGTGCTCAGCAGAGGGATGGAGTGCAGAGGAGGTGAGGAGGAGAATAGAGGATGAGGGGAGATAGGGGATGAGAGGGTAACACTTCCACAGGAGGAGGAGGAGGAGGAGGAGGAGGAGGAGGAGGAGGAGGAGGAGGAGGAGGAGGAGGAGGAAGCGTCTCAATGCAGTCTGTTAATAATGAAACCACAGCAAGGCCGAAATGTCTTAACTTTTATAAATTAAGAAGGATTATTCAGCAATCCACCATTACCATAATAGTTGAGACGTGTGTGTATCAGAGCGGAGGATAACATATAATAAAGCATGACATAACAGAAATACAGTAATAGAGTAAAACACAATCAATAATCTAAGTTTATAATTATCTGTCATAATAATCCAATAAAATGGAGATTTCAAACCAGATGTATATTAGTGCTTTATGTAAAAACTGATGATTTAAATGCTGAGACAATTCTAATACAGAAATAACTTTCCTTCAACAATTCAGGCGTATTATCTAAATAATATCATTTGTGTCTGAAGTTTATCAGACCTCATTAAAAAAAAATACAAATTGATCTACAACAAGTCTACGAACATGCAAAGAAATGTCTGTTCTACTTCAGAGAAAAGTGTATGCTCAGTGTTTGTGAGCTGGAGGTCTCCGCGTCTCTCTTGTATAAGCTGCATATTATACCAGGATTCGCTCTACAATTAGTTAAGATGTCACAAAATCATCCTCACTCGTGTTAAAGGTAGGGTTGGTAAGAATGGAGAAACCAGCTCAAGTGCGCTAGAATTTGAAAGTACGAAGCCGAAAGAAATCTGCCACTTCCTTACAGAGCCCCTCCTCCAACACACACGAACGCGCACATGACCAATGAGGGCACAAGATAAGTTTGTGCACAGATGGAAGGCTGACAGGCAGGTAGGCCATCCAGTTATTTTAGCAGGGCCGGTTCAGATGATTGGTCGTGCTTTTTACAGCGCCACGGCTGTGGAATTTGTTTAATATATTTATTGTCAAAGCATTTAATGTATCATTGCTATCGGGATGTTAAGAGCATTCCATGGAATATAACAAAAAGTGTTTCTGAAGTGAAACACTAGCTACACTAGCTTTAAACAGATGAATATGAAAACTGCCTTCTAGTGTAAACTGCAAACACATCATTCTGAAGATGAAGGTAAAATATCCAAGAACAAGCAACACAATATTTGGGTGATTGCCTTCAGAAGTGACCGAGTGCAATAAAGAAAACCATGTGAAGAAAACTAGTATTTTAATTTAAATCCGTTGGTCCAATCTGTGGGCACATCTTAACAATCATGTATGTATTTTAATCACTAATGCTTACACAAAGCATTCCAGACATAAAACCTCATTTTAAAACCTTAAATATAGAATTACCCTTTTCTTTTGCAACAACAGCATTTACAAAACAGCTGATTGCCGATTTTGAACAAATCATTGAAACATTGAGAACTTTTAGTTGTGACATGGCTATACGTTTTGGAGTCCTTTTCTTCACATGGACATACACTTACAGTAATAAATGGACCTCTGATGGAGTAAGTGCATATAGAGAATTAGTGTCTTTGCATTCATGCAGAATGTGTGTGTTATGAGCATAATGAAATGTAATATCTGTCTTATTGTAGGATGCAGGTGTGAGAGAAAACGTATGCTAAGTTCTCTTTGCTTTTTAATGCCTGTTTTTAAACGCCATATTTCTTAATGCTCTAAATGTTGTTTATTTTTGTAAAGCACTTTGAAATGCCTTGTGTTGAAAGGTGCTTTATAAATAACCTTGCCTTGCCTTGTCCGACAGAAAAGTCAAGTAAAGATTTAGAAGAAGTCGATTCCAAGGCATCATAAATAACATTTCAAAAGAAAGGAGTTTCAAGGCAGCGAATGCACCTTTACTTTTGAAACTAGACAAGCTCTGTGCTGAGTTTTGATGCAAGACCTGAGGAGTGTGTGTGTCAATAATATGCACAATGATCCCATATTTGTGCAGTACTGAAAGGCCCTTATGCAAGATGCTATACACGACTACTGTATAGGCACAAGGCATATTGGACTTTTAGGCTACGTAAAAGACACATTAACAATATATGAAAACAGTAGCATCTGTGTAAACACACAGTCTGAGGGCTGTGTGGAGGAGCAGAACAGAAGAGACAGATTCGCTGTGGGACATTTTTGAAGTCCTTTGCTCGTCTGGTGGAGAAAAGCAGATAAGTTTAACTCTCCGTCAACACTTGTATTTTTAACCTTGAGGGAAGTTAATTGGAAAACCCTCTTTGCCTCACTGCTCTCACCTCATGGCACGTTGTGTAGTTATCATAGCTTATCTTCCAAACGTACCATAATTCCACGCGACATGCAAGTCAGATTTCATCCAAGTCTGATTTCTTTCAACTCTGGGAAAAAGCAAAAGTATTTGAATTGCATGAACAATATGGCAAGTCATATTACACGCTGCTTTCCTCTTTCGAGATAGTTTTACATAATTTCCCATTCGTTTTGAAATAATGAATAGACAATGGGCTGTATAATTGTGAGGATTTACAATTCAGAGGACTACGTCGTATAATCACCATGCATAATTCAGAGAGTGGAGCGCACAGGTCACCGGTGGCACTGGCACCAAAAGTAACTCGGGTCGTCAAACAAACAATGGAGCATCAACACTTTTACTGGAATCTGAATCTCTTTGACGGGGAAACATATTTCTTCAAGAGGAAATATAAGAAAGTACATCCAATTATCTTCAAATATTATCTTGTG